TTTATTGTAGAGATGAGGTCTCGCCTGCCCAGGTGGGTCTTGAACCCGCGGGCTCAGGCAGTCCACTCACCTCAGCCTCCCAAAGGCGTAGGATCACAGGCTGAGCCACTGAGCCCGGCTTGCCTCAACTTTCCAAGTAGCTGGGACTACAGGTGTGCACCACTATGCCCGGGTAATTTTTTAATTTATTGTAGAGATGGGTCTCGCCATGTTGCCCAGACTGGTCTTTGAACTCCTGGGCTCAGGCAATCCTCTTGCCTCAGCCTCCCAAAGTGCTGGGATTACTGGCGTGAGCCACCGCACCTGGCCTGAGTAGTATCCCTTATCTAAAATGTTTGGAACGTGTTTAAGATTTTGGAATTTTTTCGGATTTTAGAATATTTGCATATACATAATGAGCAACCTTGGGGATGGGACCCAAGTCTAAACATGAAACTTATTTATGTTTCATGTATACCTTAAACATATAGAATAAAGGTCATTTCACATGCTATTTTTAATTTGTGCACAAAACAAAGTTTGTATACATTCAATCATCAAAAAGCAGAGGTGTCAAGTATGGAATTTTCTACTCGTGGTGTCATGTTGTTGGTTCTCAAAAAGTTTCAGGTTTTGGAGCATTTTGGGTTTCAGATTTTTGGATTAAGGATGTTCAACCTGCAGTACATTTCTACCGATGCTACAGCAGTTCTGCTTTGTTATTTGCCTGAGGTTATTCAGTTGTTTGAGGATATGGAAGATATTGCCCACTGTGTTTTGAGTGGAGTAGAGATAGAACATGATTTGAGAAATTGATAGGATTGGGAACAATCTCTGGTAGTCTGTCTCTGTACCACACCCATAGCTAGTTCTCTCTTCTTGGGCAGGAGCTGCCGTTATACTGTTCTGGGGGGTTGCGGTTTTTCTGGGACAACAAGTTTGACCATGCAATGGTGGCTTTCCTGGACTGTGTGCAGCAGTTCAAAGAAGAAGTTGAAAAAGGCGAGACACGTTTTTGCCTTCCTTACAGGTCAGTATCCCCCAATACTGAGTGAACCTATAACAGGACCAAATTGAACAGAATTGAAGCAACAGTAAGAATGGAGGTAAAACATAGTATAAATGGTGGGAAAGCAGAAAGTGGTGCAGAATTACATGACACTGATGGGCAAAGACTAATCCAATACTGCAAGCGGGACAAAATGTGACCACCTAGTCCCTGGAGTAAAAGAATATTGGCTTAGATGGTCCTGGGGATTTTCTTGGCACAGAGTTCAAGCCTGCTCTCTAGTTTCAGGGAGGTTTCTCCCTGAAGCCCTCAGAAATATACAGGAATGCATCTCTTGGTCAGATTTTGTAGGAGCCCAGTGATGGATGGAAACCCTAGTTCTTACCTAGAGCAAGGTTGCTTCTTTCACCCCAAAACAAAGCATTTCTTTTCTTCTGCCTCCCTTCTCCCCACATGGGTTCAGAGATGCCTAGGAAAACAGTGAGGAGTACTGTAACCCTCATTCACCCCCTGCTCCAGGCTTCTCTTCTGTTTGGGTGTGTGTCCTGTCCCTGTACTCTGCAATGACAATGAGGCTCTTGTGACAGTCTTCTTGATTTTTGGCTTTCAAGCAAATCCAAAATACACTACCGTTCCTTACCAAGTGTTCTTTAATAGATAAAATGACGTGAATGGTCCCATGATCAAGTCTCTGCCCATTTGCCTGAACTGACTTAACCCGGATCTGTTACTAATGAGTTCTGCTGTGTCCATCTGCAGGATGGATGTGGAGAAAGGCAAGATTGAAGACACAGGAGGCAGCGGAGGCTCCTATTCCATCAAAACCCAGTTTAACTCTGAGGAACAGTGGACAAAAGCTCTCAAGTTCATGCTGACGAATCTTAAGTGGGGTCTTGCTTGGGTATCCTCACAATTTTATAACAAATGACTTTCTTTTTTTCCTTAGGAGATATTTGCCTTAAAGGCTTTAAATTTTGTTTTGTTTGCAAAAATGTTTTAAATTAAATTTGGGTAATATTAAACAGCACATGTTTACAATACCAAAAAAGAAAAAATCCACAACAGCCACTTTATTTAAAATATCATATGACAGATAGCTACAACATGCCATATATAGCCGCCAGTCCTTTGACTCTTAACCCCATGCCGTCCTTTCCCTTTCTCCCATGAAAACAACTAATTTAAGTTTGCTTTGTTTTTTCTTAACTTAGTTGAATTGAGATCGATGTTTTCTCACTGGATTTTATCTCTCTCAACTTCCTGTGCTTACAATATGAAATAGAAACTTTTGTCTCCACTGAGACGGCGATATGTTTGAGGCGCATAGTTGGATAATGTGGGAAAATGACATCTAAGCTTTGCCTGGTTGGCATGTGATGTGTTCAGAAACTTGAAATTCAACACTTCTCACTTGGTTTTAGTGCCGAATGCCTACTCTGCTCTGTGGTAGAGATATGAAATGGTGTTTGATACTACTTGAGACCTTATGGAGAGATTTAATTATTTGTAATAAAAGATTTGCTAGAGTCTGATAACTGCCCAGAGTGCACTGTTGGGTTTTTCTTTCACTAAAATAGAATACTCAGTCTTTCAAGAAAGTTGAATTCAAGTGCAGGTATGTGGAAATTCTGTTGAGACGTGTTTAGAAATGAGTTCGTTTTCATTTTAAAAGACTCTGGTAAAAATAGATAGCTATTGAAGAAGCACTATTTGTTTAGAGCTCAATAACAGAGTAGAGATGTTTAACTTTAAGGGGAACTGAGGGCTACCTCCTTGATGCTCAGTCAAGGTCACCCAGATTGTCTCTGTTTTTGAATCCCTGATAAATACTAATCTCCATGTCTGATGTTCTCTTTTAATGAAATGAAGTTAAAGAAAATTCATAAATATCTTGTTAAACAAAAAAGAACCAACTTCACTAATCTGTCTCCTCCCAGCTCTTTGACATTTTCAGTCTATGACAAAAAGGACATGTTTGTCTACCTTAGCTTTCTCTGATGCAGAAAAATAATCATAAAATTGGAAAACAAAATACAGTTCAAAAGAGACTTGGAACTTTTGTACCCTGAGTATGAAAGTAAACAGAGGGCGGCATGAGTGCAGTGACGGAAGGCTGTTTATATTTGGCAGATTCAGCCTGCCTCATGTGTTAGAGGAAACAGCAGTCCTCAGAGCTCTGGCTGCCAGGTGGGAAGGAACAGGCTGCTGTCGCCCTGGAGTGTTGGCTCCCACGCTGTGAGTCAGGATTACATAAGAGAACTCAGCAATGCTCGCCAAGGCAATACCAGTGATGCTCTGCAAATGCCCCACCACCTTTAGGAATAGAAATAGATTTCTTATTACTAAATCTCAACATGTTTTAGTGCACAGACACATTACTTGGGATGTTCTCTCTCAAGCTACAAGTAAATCTTTTAATTCTCTGAACTTAGGAGGAAGATCAATTCCAGATTCCAGTGTTTGTCAATGGCAAGATTACATTAGAATCCCTTTGCCCTGATAGTGTTAGCATGGAAACTTTCCCTCGGCTAGAGATGAGTTTTGTGAAAGATAAGAGGAATTATTTGGGCCTTGACATTTTCTTCATTTGAGAGGATATACTTACTGGACTTTAACATCATAGTGGGTCATCATTATAAAGGGAAATGGACAAGCTGAACTTGGGACTCCACTGCCAATTTCATGAGAGGAAAAAAAGAAAATGTTTCAGTCCTATCCTAGTTTTTTCCATCCTGAATCCTGTGCATTCATCTTAATTCAGGGTCTTGACACTTAGCTTCTTAGGTTGTTTTCTGTTTTCCTTTAACTGATGGGGAAATGCTTTCTATTAAATGAATTCTGACCAGGCTGGTCCTGCTCAGTGGTGCATACCTGGCTCCAGCACTCATGGTTTTGGATGAAAGCACTTGCTGCAATGATGCCTACTGCCAACAACATGAAGTCTTCCTTTACTGAAATAAACTTTTCCCTGAGTGATTAAAACCATATTAATTTTAGAGCTAGAATGAAACTTGTTCTTCCAAATCCTAGAGTCATGGAACTTCAACTATGAATTGTTTATGTTGATCATCTTAGATTTTTTAGATGTGGAAGGAAATGATCAAGTGATAGCTCACTGATCTGCTGCCCCATCATCCCCCAACTCAGCTGGGATTAAAACAAGAGCCTGAATGGTTTACGGCTCTTTTGTTCTATCTGTCTCCCTAACAAATGTAACAATCTTTTTAGCCAGTCTGACTTTACGGTAATCAAACACTTGAGTCCAAGTTGTAACCCTCTGACTGGCTTTTTTTCCTAAGTGACTATAAAAACAGACCAGTCATAAGCAGCTATAAAGAAAGAACTAGGAAAGAAAATATGTTAATTACTTGAAGTAATTTAAATTTAAAAGTAAAAGCCTTTAGGGTTTTCCTGATTGAGTTCAGTCATCTGCATCCAAGCAACATATTGGAAGTTAATGGGAACCAGGTAACCTGTGTAGGTTATCTGTGGACTTGATGCCTTGCTAGGTTAATTCCTTTCCCCAAATTCTTGTGGTCTGTCTCCAACTCTCTGTTCCTGGAAGGAGCCTACGCTGTAGGAGTTGCCTTACCCTTGTAGCTGGCTGGGTGTGGAGTTCTTAATTGAAGCCCGCAGCAGGTTCTCATATATGGGTTCATGCAGAAGATAGACCAGGTCGAGCAGGGTCAGGCAGGTTGCATGCAGCTGTGTGGCTGGGACCAAACAGCCATTGTATCCTGGGCGGAGTGAAGGCATTATAGGGATCAATTGGATTATCTCTGATCATAACCACAGTTGTCTTGTGACGTAAAGCTGTTGAGCTGCTAGTGAACTTCCTGATTACTATGTACTATAAGAAACCTATTTAGCTGGAGATCAGTTTTGAGGGAGGTAGAGAAAGGGAGAGGTAGAGAAACCTCCATCTATGGTATATATACAATTCCAATATTTTTGTTCCTCTCTCATCTTATGCCTTTCTATAAAATAAACTCTTTGATCCTGCAATTAAAAGGTTTCTAATGAGTCCAAACAGAAACCGGTTGCCGAGACCTCTGAGCTGCTTTCCCTGACAACTGCCAAAGGGAAACACCTTTCTCAATTATCCAGGGACACCATCAGGCTCCCTACTATTCATTAGCAGGTCCTGCCCACTGTGCACATTGTACTGTCTTTTATGGAAGTCTCCAACCCACATTTCCTGGCACAATAAAGTACCTAAAACCTCTAGAAGCATCTCCACATATGCCAGGGGAGTGGGCAGATTGATTTGGAAGTCCAAGGATTTCAAAACATCAAGCTCTGACTCCAGTAGTTCTTCTTTAGTGTATAGATACCCTAAAGCCTGGAGGAAATTCAAGGCTGTCACGTTGCTGATTATCTGTGCAAAGAAAAAAATAGAGGAAGAGAAGGATGTCGGAGCCATAGATGGAGTTTCCGTGTTGGCGGAGTGCATGAAGCCCCTCACAGTCCAGCCCACACCTTCATGGATTCTTGTCTTATAACTTCCCCAACACTGTGCTTGCCACTCTCAATTACTTGCAGCTCCCCAGCCCACCATGCTCTTCCTCTCCAAGCCACCACACCAGCTGTTTTCTGTGTCTGGATCTCCCTTTTGTCTCCTCCTATCCCTGTTCTCCCTATTCTCTTGGGATCCCACCACTCCACCCCACACTTCAAGAAGTCATTTTTGGCCAGGCGTGGTGGCTCCCAACACTTTGGGAGGCCAAAGCAAGAGGATGCCTGAGCCCTGGGGGTTCGAGACCAGCCTGGGCAACTTGGTGAGACCTCATCTCTACAATAAATTAAAAAAAAAATAAGCCGGGCATGGTAGTGCACACCATGCTACTTGGGAGGCTGAGGTGGAAGGATCGCCTAAGCCCAGCAGGTCAAGGTTGCAGTGGCTGTGAGTGTGCCACTGCACTCCAACCTGGGTGACAGAGTGAAACTCCAACTCAAAAAAACAAGTAATTTTCTCTACACTTTCTTGACTCCAAGGCTGATGAGGTGCATTCATAGCCATCTGTGTTCACACTAACCAGGGTACTTTTCACAATATTTTCATGTGTGCCTTTTCTCATTACATGCGAAGTTTCTTGAGAGCACAGGAAATAATTTTACTGTTGTAGCCATGGCACCTAGTGCAGCATCTGGTCATAGAATAAACTCTAAATATTTATCGAATGCATGATATTTTACTGTGTAGGCACTGGGAAGTGATGTGGAAGCATTCTATCCCTTATAATGTAAGAGTTTGCCTTTAATACCAATAGGTATGTTGGCAGTTCAGGCATCTTATGTAAACTGCCCTTGAGTCCAAGGGGAGGAAAGGTGACCTGTATGAATGATGGCATGTGTCCAGCAATTATACTTTGGGAACAGAACTTCAGGCTGCTTAATAACCGTGACTGTGTGTGTGTGTGTGTGTGTGTGTGTATGTGTGTGGTGTGCTTTGGAAGCATAATGACATCCTGGAATTTCCACATGAGCAGTGTCTTGCCTACAAGCAGGTTTCTCATGCCTGCCTTTGGATGAACTGGTTTCTTTCTGACACTCAGGTGCCCACGAGCAACCCCAGGTCCTTACTTTGTAATGGAAGGAAAGTTTGCTGGCCAGCTGAACACATGACACAAGGCGGAGGATAAGCTCGTTGGAAAGCTGCTCCTTCAGAGCCCTCCAGTTCTCACCATCTCTCAGCGGGGCTGCAGCTCGCCTGCAGATGTCCTCTGCTCGCTTCACCATGAACCTAAAGGATAGGAAGGAGAGTAGACAAGCCACACTCACATGAGGGGGGTCTGCTTCAGATCATGCTACGCTTTATCCTCTCCAATAGCAATGGCTGACTAAGAAATTCACATCTGCAAGTCTAAGTGTGGGATTGTAAAGCCAGGCCTCAGGGTAAGGGGCTAAAGCTTTGGGTACATTTGTCACTCTGAGAGGTACTACTCACAAAGGTCATCTGCCCAGGGCTTTACCTTTCTAGGATTTCTACAGCCTGGTAGCTCACAGATTTCTCCAGACACAATTGTTCAGACAGGAGAAAAACAAACTCTGCCAAAAGAGGAAAAAAGAGCCTAATTCACAAGATGCAACCAAAACCACTCTGTGAACTCCTGGCATTGTATAAAAGCCATAGTGGGGCCAGGGAAAGAGGGTCAGGAGGTGAGAAAGATGAGACTGAAACAACCAAAGCTGAGCTTAGTTTCTTTTGCTGCCAATAGGCAGATCAGAGGCATGAAAAGGAGGCTGACTGAGTGCCAAAGACAAGGGGCCCCTGAGCTTTCCTGTGGGTCTCAGCTGATAAAAAGCTTGGCCAGTTACATGCAAACATACCAGCTGGTCTACTTGGCCTCTGCACCATGCTGGGAACCCCTAGCTTCAAGGAAGATGCTTGGATGGATAAAACCCTAACCCCTATATTCTGTTTTCAGTGGAATGTTGGCAGGAACAGAAAGGTCCCTCCTGGAGCTTCAATATTCTTTATGACATTGTTTGTTTAGTAACCACCCTCTGGAGAACTCCCATTGCTTTACAAACACAATTCACCTTACAGCTGGACACCATCTTTCCACCACCAGTTTGTTGGGTAAATCTGTGGTGGCTGAGCCTCTCCTTGGGAGCAAATTTGTTACTGTGAAGTGGCTTGTTTTGAAGAAACATCTCCTAAATCAGGGAACATAGCCCAATCTGGGGTGAGGGAATCATCAAGAAGGTGGGAAGGGCAAGATACCTTGGCAGGATTTTAGCCCGCCTCTGTTTCTCTTTGAAAGAACAGCTCCAGATAGAATTCTATTTAGCTTGCAATATCATTAGAGGGTGGAAACAAGGGTAAATGTCAAATCTCAACAAAGAAAGCTCCAGCAGACCTAGGAACGTTTAGCATTGATCAGCAAAGAATTACATATATAGTCAAATTACCATGTCTTTAGAGAAGATCTCCCTTTCTTAGAAAATAGAAAAGTCACCAGGCTCGGTGGCTCAGCCTGTAATCCCGCGCCTTTGGGAGGCTGAGGTGAGTGGATTGCCTGAGCCCGCGGGTTCGAGACCTTCCTGGGCAACTTGGCGAGACCTCATCTCTACAATAAATCAAAAATTAGCCAGGTGTAGCGCGCGCCTGTAGTTCCAGCTACTTGGAAGGCTGAGGTGGAAGGATCGCCGGAGCCCAGCAGGTCGAGGCCGCAGTGGCCGGGAGCGGCCACTGCACTCCAGTCTGGGCGACAGAGTGAGACTCCAACTCAAAAAAAAAAAGAATCCAC